ATGTATGACCAATATGGAAATATTGTCATTTCCTATCTCGTGTTTATCAACCGAAAGGTCGCCCTATGCCCGCGCATCCTCTTTTTCATGTGACGACCGGTTTATCAGACGAAGTTTTCCTGTTCTCGGCTCCAATAAATTTGACAAAGAGTGGATTACTCAAAGTTAAGATGAAATCAATGGCTACGCCAACTGCCGAAGAAAGTTAAAATCAGGCCTGCGAGCCACTCCTATGAAAAATTGCGTAAGGGAGCTAACGATTGTCTTGAAGATATATTTCACGTACGGGACATTAAGTCAGAATCTGAGCTGGCTGTGTACTTCGTTTTAGTTTCTCCGGGATATTTAGCTTTTCCTGACGAATTCTCGGGGTTCACCGATTACTTGAGCTAGTTCCACCTGGCGAATGGCTCGTCGGTATAGCGTGCATTCGCACTTGTATTTTTGCTGCAGTGTGTGGTGGCTATTTCGATGCAGCATTTCGAGCATGTTGATTTTTTTCTGTACCGTGGTCATAATTTGACCGCTGAATTAGTGGAACACGGGAATACGGGAAGCGAAACAGGTCTTCCACATTCTTCTACACCATTAACTGTGTATCAGAGAGATCTAAACTCATTTATACCTCATAATATTTACTCTTTCCCCGGACGTACTTAAAACACATTTTCAAAATGTTGGTTTGTCGTCTCGAGCATCCGTCCTTCGAGACTTTGGTGAAGTACTACAACAACAGACCCCGAAACTGACATTTTCTTATGGGTGCACTTGACCTGCTCATATATGGTTCCATTGAACAATGCCCGTAGACAGCGCCTCGTAAACTCTACGGGGTCATGAGTTGTGGAGTGAACTTGTTCTCGCCGTTGTCTGAATACAGAACATAGAAAGTTTTGATTGTAAGAGATCTGAGTATGGACGCAAACGGAGAAATTACATAAAATTGTTCCACTCCTTTGTGTACTTTAATTGTACATATGCTTTATACAGGAACTGATCTTCTAAGTATACCGCTATTTTGAGTGTGCAGGTGAGACTCCCAGCTTTCCGGATAGCGCATTTACATTTCGTACATGGAAATGCCTTAGAGTGAGAGGATTGAACGGAGGAGTCGTCTGGATTGTATTTTTTTGAGAGTCGTAGAAATGCACCGCAGCTGCTTTTGTTTGCTTTGCCACACACCCTTCCTCGCTGGTGAAATTTTGTGGTGTTCCGAGAGTTCTAGTTATCCCCAGGATCATTGGTTTTAGGGTTAAGACTGCAGATTCTTCAGAGCTCCATATCTTTTAGGAGTGCGAGGCCTCTGTTTCAACAATTCGGGGATAACGGATAACTAGTCGCTTTCATCAGGCAGAAAGACTATCTGGCGTCGGCTTTTAACTACGTCGTCACTTTATGTTTTCCCCTTAGTAGGGTGTGTGGCCTGCTTTGTGACGTTACTAACGAAGTGAGTAGATGTTGAATGAAGCCTTTGAACATGTCTGAGATGCCGGTTTGGCGCAGCACTAATTCGGAGGAAACAGTTAGCACGGTCAGATCGGTGACAATCATTTAGATCCAGATTCTCAGTTAAAGACTTTCGTTTGAGCCGGGAACTTCGTTTCGATTGTGAGGAGAGGGTTTCACTAGCGTCCGTTTATCCAACGGACTTTGGACGACTTTTCGTATTCAGAATCTTATCGGTAAATTCTCCTCTCTGTTCGCTCGATTCTGTCTGTCCAAGGGTTTTAGCGACCTATGCAGTGTGGTGGTATTCACCTCGACTCAGCCAAGGGTAACAAATAGTTTCTTGGGTTCGGTTCCGCATACGAACTTCTTTAACCGGTGTCGGTAGTAGAGAATCCTTGCCATTCGTCAGTTGTGCCAGGCCGTCGCTGGTTTTGTCAATTTCATACTGATAGGAGGCTTGTAATAAGGCACTACGGTATTAAATGATCGACCCGGCATCCAAGAACGAAGTGGAGCTGTCCACAGATTGAAGTACAGTTCTTACCTAAACGGCGATCTAGCTACGATTTTGCTCCCGACGTCCACACAAGGTGTAATGAAAACACAAATTTGGTGTTACACCGAAAAGAAAGGTGGACGTTCACCGAGACAGGTGCATTGCCATCCGGAAGTTTTATGAAGCGAGGGGCAGAGTTCTTTAAAATGATATGCTTTAAACTGTCAGTTATGGTCAGCAAGGTACATCTTTCGCAACATCAACTCAAGCGATGGTCGTTTCGATACTTATATGTATGGTAACCGGCCACAGCACAAAAGCTCTTCCAGATGGTTGTAGAAATGTATACGGAACCTTATACTGTTATGTTTTAGAAGATAATCGAAGTCAGATGACTCCAACTACCTTCGGTGGAAATTTCATACAAAGTCCAAACTATTATCGTTATAGTGTGTCTGTCAAAATAATTATGCAATCTAAAGAGGTGATTTTCCCGCCAAAAGAGGTCAATGATTTTTATGTCATATCCATCTTTACTTAAATTCCCGGTGTCTGGCGGGCGAGACCATCAAAGTACGCCTGCAGTGCAAATACGGTGAAAGGTAGAATTGCCACAGAGGCACCCAATTCCCCCAAATCCTAAAGTTCTGCTTTAAAACGTACTTCAATTTTGGCGGAATAATCTGCAGACAGGTGAACGGCATGACAATGGGTTTAACGATTTTCTGGACTCAGCTGAGAAGGTTCTGCAACAGTTGGAGTCCTTCGTCTTCAAAATCGCAGACCGCAGTTATTGGCCCAGTGTGTGGATGATGCTTCTGTCTCCACCGAACGGGTTTGGGTACTGACTTTCAAGGGGGAACCCCAACACTCTCTTCCTGTATCAGAAGGAAAGCAACCAGTTGGCCTTCCTTTATATCCTTCTCTGCCGCAAAGATCGTAACGACCTAAACTTAAGTATACCGGAAGATGATAAGAGCGGCGCAAAAACTGACATTCAGTTGTGACTACCAAGTCTATCTCAGAAGCTGTTGCGTTTGAGTGCACTCCAGTTAATGGGAAGGCGAGTTTGCCAATTTACAATACCTAAGACGGTGCTCAGAGCGAATGACTACTCGCGTTCCTTTGCCAGCAAATGTTCGCCAGAACGGAACGAGACCAAATCTTTCAGCGTTTTTACTGGCATGCCTATGGGGTAGTTCGTGTCACGAATAACATCACAAAGATAATTTATCGATTCTGACACAGGTACGTTGGTAAACAGCGATGAAACAACGGCCGAGTCAGTGACAATACGGCTAACGAATCCGGTGCTATGCTGTCAGAAAACCCTGACACAAGCGCTCTCTCTGCCGTGGCCAACGCCAACCTCACGTGATGACGACATGCCGCCTCAAATCCCTGATTACAGTGATGGGTACTCCGTGTACTCAATCCAAGAGCATCACTCAAAAGCTCGCTTACCCCCCCCCCCTCCCCCAGCCCTAAGGACCAAAACCCGCCGACCTCGTCATGCGGGCGGCGTGGGAATGATGAGTGTTAATGACATAATTGACCTTTAGACACCTATAAACACTGTTAATTTTGTACACTTTCACTCCTTCATGTAACTGTATTGGCCTGACGAAGAATTACCGAAAACACGTGTTAGCCAACTTGACTTTTCAAGTGTAACATGGGAATATTTGCGGAACTGAGACAATCCAAAGATCCCTTGGTGTTAAAGGAACTCAATGGATTCCTCAAGTTTAACACCAGACTTGCGGAGGCACGTGTGACGAGCAAATTCTTATCAGGATGTATTGAACGGGGTGAATATCCCAAATACTACTGGAAAACCTTACGACGAAATCATATTGCCACAACTTCAACTGCACTAAAACGACATGCAGAAAGCCACCTAGAGACAGTTAATGCCGTAATTAAAGAACTCCACCGGAACTTGTGTCAGAGAGTAGTGGCCCTTGACCGCCTTGAAAACCACGAGAGACTGGCATTTAAAGACTATGCAGAGGCAGTCAGAATTAAAAGAATGGAGGCCAGGTGGAGTAAGCTCCTACGAAGCGTCCAGTCAGTAAAAGCTCAGACCGTCCTTCCGAACAATCCGGAACGGTACGTACATAACTATTCCTCAGTACGTCTTGATAAAGCTCTCGTAGAGGTACTAGCTCTTGGTCCTAAGTTTTGTATTGCACGGCGGATGCCGAAACAATTAGAGCTAGAAATCCAATTTGAGAGTCTCTTCAGTCAGACTACAGATCTAAAACCTAGCGATACTAAAGAAGTTGATTGTCTTAAGTCGACCCTAGTTAACTGCTGCCAACAGTATCTAAGGAAGTCTCCGATAAGCAAGGGTCCCTTGACAAGGGCTCACATCGATAGCCTTAGGGAACTCCGCAAAAACAAAGACATTGTGCTAACCAGACCAGATAAGGGTTCAGGAGTAGTACTGATGGATAGAACGGATTATGTGGCGAAACTAGAGGAAATACTGTCGGATCGTTCCAAGTTTTCGAAATCCGAGAAAGATAAGGATCACACAGAGGCTGTCGAGGGTCAGTTGACGAGTATTCTCAAAGACCTCTGCAAAGAAGGCCATTTGTCTAGTAAAGAGTATGAACGACTGAGGCCGGTGGGCACGACAATACCAAGAATGAACGGCCTTCCTAAAATCCACTAACAAGGGCTGCCCCTACGTCCAATCTTCGATATGTGGAATTCCCCCTGTCACACCGTTGCAAAATGGTTAGTGGATAGACTGAAGCCACTGCAAGGTCATCTGTATCCTCGAAGTCTGAAAGACTCCTTTGAGTTCGTGGAAGCTATCAAAAATATGAACGTTGGCGGACGGAGGATGTTATCACTAGATGTATCATCGCTGTTTACCAACGTACCTGTGTCAGAAACGATAAATTATCTTTGTGATGTTATTCGTGACACGAACTACGCCATAGGCATGCCAGTAAAAACGCTGAAAGAACTACTGACGCGCTGCACACAAAATGTCCAGTTTCTGTGCAATGGTCAACTATACAGACAGATAGATGGCGTGGCAATGGGATCACCTCTTGGACCGTTCCTTGCAAATGTTTTTATGGGCAAAGTTGAGAAGACAAGATTACAAGATGCCATTAATGACCTCGTCTTCTACGGTCGGTACGTGGACGATATCTTCTGTCTGGCGGATGGTACCACCGATATCGAGGACCTTGTCCAAAAGTTCAACAGTGCGCACCCCTCGCTAAAGTTCACTGCTGAGTCTGAGGCAGATAACGAAATTGCGTTTCTCGATGTCCTTCTACACAGGCAGGAGGATGGGTCTATCCAGCGCAGGGTGTTCCGAAAAAAAACCTGGACGGGACAGTACATTAATTTCCACAGTTTTGTTCCCCTCAGCATCAAACGAAATCTAGTCCAGGGATTGGCAGCTAGAGTGAGGCGCATCTGCTCACCTGAAGCTATTGAAGCAGAGCTCCAACATCTGCAGAACACACTTCGCGAGAACGGATATCCAGATAGATTTATCCTCCGAAATATTGGGGAACGCATTGCAAAGCCCACTGTTGCGACTGCAGAAAAGAAAGATGTATTCATAAGACTGCCTTTTGCAGGGGACGCAGCGAGCGAAATATCCACCGATAGTTCAATGGTAATGTGAAACTGAAGATACTCTCACACAAGGAAAGACTGTAAGGAAATTTGTCTATAGGAAAGTCTTCTTGTCATACACTTGTATGTCTAAGATTGCATCTGCCATTACTATTCGAATTTACTAGTCACTGACCAACATATCAACACATGGTCTTGTGAAATCTTTTACTCCTGTAGCGTGCCTATCGAAAACATCAAGCAAATTCCTACTTACCATAGTCAATCGAGGGGAAATTAAAGAAAAATTTCGTAATTCTATACTCGGACTGTGGGCTGTTTGGCTGACCGCCATACCTGACATTCGAATGTTATTCTATTCATGTTGTTTAATTTACTCATTTTTTGTCTGGACAGGCCTTTAGTACGCCTAAAACTGGATTTTGATCAGTTAAAACTATTTTTGACGCCTTCGTAATTTCACCCTTCCCAAAAGTTTTTTTCTAAACAGTATAGTATTTTAAATTCGCACAAACTCCTTCGTCATTCAGCCAGAGTTTTGTTTCATTCGAGTGTACCAGGTTGCGAGTAATTAACAATGTTTCATAAATTTTGATATATTTCATGAGTTTCCAATGTCACTGTATATGTGGGAAAGTTTCCGACTATACTGTAGATGACTCGAGTACATCTCAGCATTTGATGATTTAGGTAGGAGAGTGTTATTGCCAAGCGGGCTACCAAAAGTGTCCCGAATTGTTGCGATTAACATCGCACACAACTCTGTCGGGCTTTATAAATGCGTAGCCATGCGGTTTATGACTAAGTGTAAATTCAGTCCTACAAGTGAAAAAGCTAATCGAATAGATAAGTCTGCAGGTGGTAAAATGTCGTTAACTCACTTCTGGGAAATGAGACCGGTCCAGTGTGCATTACAAGGTCCGTAACCAGTTACTTTATTTTAGTAGAAATTCATTCGAAATCAAAACGCCTGAGATATAACTTGCGTCTAAATCACGGTAACTTCCCTCGAATACCTATGTCCGTATCGAATTCGGGTGCAATTTACGCTTAAGAAGTCGCTCGCATTTTAAAGTTCCCGTTTACACATATGAAGCAGCCCCTGCTCGGAAACGTGACAGTTTTTTTTACAAAATTAAAGCTTACTTTCAAAACTGCGGATAGAATTTAGATCCTAATTGTACTTACGCCTAAGGCATTCCTATCCTGGAACTGGGTCGCCGGAGTCAATCTTATTACTTCAGATACGAATTCCATGCAGACCACCGAGCCGATTTCAACCAAACACAGTGAGCAAATCATACCTTTAGTTTCCAAATTCATAGCACCACATAGTTTTCGAATTAATTGTTTTAACCGGGCCCACAACACAGACAATAGAAGTAGCGCGCTTGCGTATTTCACCGATTTTATGGTTGATTGGCGTAAATGAGGGAGATTTGGTTCGTCCGCTGGTAACTTGAACCGGCATTCGATATTTTTGGAGTGTTACGAAAGTTTACCTTACCACCACGAGTCTTATCTGTTTATTTAAAAGACAATTTAACGAACGCACGTCTGCTCTCCACAAATTTTTTCTAGGTCTGTACATTTATGTGGCCATTGAAATAATGAATCAGGGGATACGGGCAGGTAGATAATTATGATGTGGCTCGCGTTCGAGGCGGGGAGAGTGAAACACCAAAATTCCAGTCAGCGCAAGGGAGAAGGTGGACGCCGGGAAAGCTGTCTAGCTTGGTCGCTTTACCCCATGATAATTGTGGGACCTGTATTAAGTGTTTCTGTGCTCATAGGACCGGTTCGATTGGCCTGATTGCAGACGCCTGTGCCATAGCTAACCGGAGCTGCCCAAGTAGGTTTGGATAGCTTGACGGAACGTTGGAATTCACTCGGAAGACCGCTCTTGCGTCTACGCTATGGTCTATGTCTACCATGTGCGTGAGGACAAAGTTGTTGATGCTGACCCTTTCCTAACCATGTTGGAATATATTGTTTTACGTTTTCAGATAGACTTCGACTCGTGCGACCAATATATTCTGTCCCACAGGAGTAGGTGAAGAAATAAATACATATGGAGGTGGTCAGAGCTGGTAGTTTGTCGTTGCCCTCCCCGTATAGGATGGGACATGTGGTGACCAGTACACGGGTGTCAGCTGCTGGAAATATCCCTGATACAGCTTGAGTTAGGCGTCTTCTTAAAAGTTCACTTGGCGCGTCCCCTTGAATTAGAATCCCGATGAAAATCCTTTTCTTTCCTGCTGTCAGCATCGGGGGCCTTGGCGGTCTTTCGGCCATGTTCTTACCAATGAATAGATCAGGATACCCTTTCTTGCGAAAAAGAGTTTCGGTGATGTTAAGCTCTTTCACAATGCTATCAGCCGAGCAGAGTTTTCTCGTTCTTTCTGTCAAACACAGGACTAAATTACGTTTAGAGGTACGAAAGTCCTAAAACTGGTTTATTGTCCGGACCACGTTTTTTTACGATTAACGCTTTGCCAAATACAGCCGTCAGGCCTTCTACTCGGAAGCACGTCCAGGACTGGGAGCGAACCGGACTGCCCTCCTTCCAGCATGAATTTGATGGATGGGGGCGCTTAAGTTATAACCGTGATGTCATTTTTTACGGAGCAATCACGAATATATCATCCACTTACCGCCCATAGTATCTTAAACCGCTGATCTGGTGACGTAGCTGGAAAGCTTTTAACTTTCCCATGAATATATTCGCCAAAAGTGGGCCAAGGGGCGAGCCCATAGTTGCCCCGTCCATCTGCCTACATAGGTCCTTGTTGAATAGGAACTGCACCTTCATGGTACACCTCAATAACAACTTCTTGAGGACATTCACCGGTATTCCTATATCCTGCTGATTTTCGGCAACGAAATTACAAAGGTAGTTGGTCGTCTCCATGACCGGTACGTTTGCAAAAGTGGATGAGACACCTAATGTAAACAAAATCATTCGTTCAGATCGAGGTCTTTCACATTTTTAATGAAATCAAAGGTCTCCCGACAGCTATATGGCGCTAGTTGATATTGCTTTATTGATACTGTTCATGTGTACTTGCATCAGTCGGCACCATAGGTCTTTGGGAGCGTTGGGGTTAGCTGGACCAAAGTAGATAGACGCTAGTTTCTTCGATTCGTTTCACTGAATCTAAAATAAAGGCATGCGCCAACTGATTTTCATTTGCTTAAATCTCTACAGCACGTGCTGAACGAAAAAGTTCTCAAAATATCGATAATGCCAAAATGAGCTCTCGCAATTCCCTGCATCAAAAAAGCACATACAGTAGGTGTGCTAACTCATGAAACGTCAACCGAAATTCCGAAATGCTAAACTAACCATCGTGCAGCATAATTCTATAATAATTCAGTTACCTCACGATGCCGGCTTTTGAACGAACTCCTTTTCGGCTGCACGCAAAAACAACACTCTGCATAGATGATTACTTAAGTAGCATGTATTTTTATCGTTGATTTTTGATGCCCATAAAAATTAAATTATCGTTCATGAAAAATATGCATAAAACTATTCATTCTTTTGCGAATTCGGTAGAAAATTGCGTCTAGTCTCAACTTTGTGCTGGAAGGAAGGGGTATAGCCCGGCTCTGAAAACGTTTCTAATTGTAAGATTTTTTAATACCATGAAATGGCTGTTCATAAAACTTCGTGTCTCTGTATTTACCAATGTGGCTGGTAAAGTCAACAATATGGCTCAAATAAAATGCTACATTTTAGGAACCCCATATAGCCTCCTCTTAGTACCGTAGAGAAATGCATGGTTCTCCGTACGCGGAAAATATACGGCCTGTAGCTTGGAAACCCTTAATGCAAGTGTAAGGGCAGGTCGGATACAAAATTGTTTAGGAGTTGGAAGAGTTTTTGAAAACCAAATTATACCTTTTTTGAGTATAAAATTGGAAGAAGACCTAATCTTCTACCGAATGGGCAAACGAATGAATACTTTTATGCATGTTTTTTTACGAAATATGATTGAATATTTGAGGGCATCGAAAATTAACGGGAAAAAATACATGTTACTTAATTAATCTTTTTTTATAGAGTGCAGTTTTTTGTATGCAGCCGAAAAGAGGTTTGTTAAAAAGCCGGCATCCTGCGGTAACTACATTATTATAGAGTTATGCTGCATGATTATTAGTTTTACAACCCTGCTTAATTAATCTTTTCGAAACGAAAACGCATTACATAATCTCGGTTGACATTTCGTGAGGTAGCCCCCTACTGAACCTGCAAGGAGGATGCTTAAAACTTATTTTCAAGATGTTTAATAACGGTTGATAACAATGGGGATTATATAACTGATCAAAAAGTATGTCTTCGCGTAAACATCTTTGTCCTCACTAATTGAAAGGCAACAGTGTTTCCCGGTATTCCTAACACTTTATCTTTTACTACATTCCTTTAAAGAGACGTTTATGTGGTCCAGTCTGGTCTGTCTATAGGAATTTCCAACTAGCTTATTTTTAAATTACCTATACAATACAAAATAGGTTTAAATTAATGAATGAACGAGGCATAGTTCAAAGTTTTATCAGGTCTTTTATACTCCCTAATTTACTTTCAGTCGATAAAGATTTTACTTTTTTACTTTCAGAATATTTTTGGCTTTTTCTAATCCGGAGGCCTATGCTGCCGTTTCTTTGATGGGCCCATAATTTTGAGAGCATGCATAGGTTAAACCCATACAAATATTTAGAAAGTATTAATACCGACTCCAATACATCTGATCTCGAAAGAGAGATTTAACATATTATGTGTATCTCGTAATTTACATTGATCCATGCAGTTAGCGTTAACTGCCAAATTGTGATTGGTTTTGTTCCAGTTCTTTCATACTTTATTCTAGGGATTGTGCACATTTTTTCAATTGTAATACAGGAGACCCTGGTGTCTGTGTGATATCGTAACTCATTTTCGGCTTTGCGTAAGCGTATATATTTCACAGGCAAAGCTCGGTATTCTCATTATTTGCGCCGTATTAGTGCATGTACATAAGATAGAGGGAAACTGAAATTATTTTGGCC